CCAGAAAGCGTACCCAACCACCGTACCAGCGTACCAGCAAGCGTACCAAACCCCGTACCCTGTACCACCCCACCCCCGTACCTTACAATCATGTATTTTGCAAAACCCAGCTAGCACCTATCTTAAATCCAGCTAAATATATATAGATAGATCGATCCAAATAAAGGAAATCCGACTACTAAACCGCGGTGAATCGCCCTTGTGGTTCAAGTCATGCCCTGTTCTCCAACACACCCATTTGGCCCCAGACCCACCCCAAAATGGCCCAGTTCAGTCCAGTCAGCCTCAACACTAAGACTCTGGCGTGTTTTCACCACGAACTCGTCCTTCCACCTCGTCCTTCCACCAAAGTCCCACCCAAACCAACCATGACTGACCCGCACCACCGGGGACCCTGAAGGACCCCGCCTTGCTTCTGCCGCCAGGCGCGGCGCCGCATGATCTCTGCCTCCTCGCGCACCGCCTGGTTTCGAGCAGTGATAGCAGCCAAAGCTGTAGCGCTCTTATTTTGTATACCCTGAGATTGTTGAGGGGAAAACATGTCTGCAGCACTGACAGTCAGAGGGATCAAAAGTAAAAGACATCAAATCAGGTGGGACCAACACATTCACCACCACACCACCAAACACACACACACACACACTCGATCTCCGCACGCCTCGTCCAACTTGCCCACACCGGCGGACACCAGCATCTGGCAAATCTCCGTCCTCGAGGATCGACATCGCCGTCCAGGGGAACGAGGAGTCCACCAGTGGTCGAACGAGGGGAAAGGACGGAAGCAACGTTCGAACGCTATCGCTACGGCTAGGGGCTCCTGGCATCGCGACTCGAGTCCAGAGCGAGCAAGGACGCTACTTACAAACGTGGCTCCTGGCCTTACTACGAACGGAACAAGAACGCTACGAACGCAACAAGGATGCATCAGCCCTTCGGACCGGAGTATTCAGCCCTTCGGACCACGGAGTTGCTACTTGGTGGTCGTACAATGTCATCTCATGGTGTTTTGATAGTGAAAAATGCATCCTGGAGTAGATAGAATGTGTCCAAACAACATATGACCAGGCTTCCTATAGTTTTTTTGATTTGCCCATATTCCATGTCTGTGGATGGCAAAGACGACTGACATGGCACCAAAAAGATCCACGCAGGGACCTTGCGGCAGTGTTCACCCGCTCCTTTCCATAGCAATGAATTGAAGCAGCGCAGTTACCTGGCAGTCAAATGCGTTGCTTCTTTGTGGTTTCCCTCACAACGGCACACTCAATACATCCACTGGCCAGAACCCAAGAGTCACCTCCGGAGTCTTCAGAGTGTGAGCCGCATCCGGCAACTCCAAAGTAACCTACCTCGAACAGATTTAACCAACCCCAGTCTTGAATAGAAAAAGGATCCACTATGTTTTGATATGTTTTGAATATCTTCCAAAGCAGGGGTCATTGTCAGCTTCTCTATTATTATGTAATATTTATAGTAATTATTTATATAGTATTATTTTTTGCAATTTGGCAATTCACTAGTATGACCATCAGCCCACCTTAGGGACCTCACCGGGCAGGGCAAACAGCGAACCATCCCCCGGACAGTCGTTCGCCGCCTGGCGTTCAAAGGTCACCCGGTTGGCGTAGTTGTCAATTCCTCGGCGGTTCCGCGAGATGAACTTAGAGTTTCAAGGTTGGAGTTGAAGGCAATTGCTAGTAGGTTGGAGGCCATCGGTATTGGGTTGCAGGCCATCGCTATTGATAAGGCCATTGCTTTTAGGTTGGAGGCCATTGCTATTGGTTGCTTTCCTGTTGGGTGCAGAACGAACATGCAAAGGGGTGCCCGGTGCCCACGGGACCCACTCACTGGATGGGACCCAAACAACAACAATCCTTTTGGATCCCTTTGGAACCACTGGTGCCACTGGAGACTTACCAACGACCCAAAGCCAAAGCAGCCCAAAGCGCAAAAAGGGGAGGAACAGCTCGTTTTAACCTGACTGGCCCGCCGTCCAAAAGCCCAGCTACATCGGACCGGATACAGGGTGGATGCTTGAGCCATCTTGAGCCCTTTGGAGCCTCATGTTGGGAAGGAGAACCAGACTGGCTCAAGGGAACCCCAGTCTGGATCTCCTACTCACTCAGTCAAAAAGCAACATCTTAGCATCTGCCAGACTGGGTTCCCAGTCAAAGCCTGGACTGAGTCTGGACCGCAGCTGACACCCAGTCTGGACATCTCATCTGCCCAACGCAGCCCAACACCTGAACCCTGCAGCTGCCCCATGTCTGGCGCTCAGCGGCGGTAACGCATCATGCGGTGCGGATCCTGGCGAGGTGATTCCTTCGGTGTATGTATATATGCTACTAGGAGCAAGGACGCTACTAGTAGCTCCTGGCCTTGCTACTAGTAACAAGAAGCTACGAATGTAACAAAGGGCATCGCTACTAGGTAACTCTATTTGGTAGATCTGTAGAACCGCTTAAGCTCTGCATGGAGATTGAATCAACGAAACTACGGCGTGAGGATACGTGTCTTCTTTTTCTCATAACTCCCTAGGTCAAGTTGACCGTGCGTCCATCTGATTGTGTTGCTCCAAAGAGCTGCACATCTGGACAAAACATTGCCATGTCGTCATGTGGCGATGGGTCGTTCAACCTGAAGCCTGACCAGTCCACCATGTATACCTTGACCTTCTAGATCCTCGTTCGGTAGGTCAATCGCTCAGAATCCATGATCGCCGTGACCGCCATGACTGGTCCACCGAAGGTCATGAAGGAATGTCCAGTCGGTCGACGTTGCCTCGGGCATCTGCCCTTGGATGTCAACGACCAGCACGTGCCCCACAAAGTCCACCTCTTTCCTGGGAAAGGCGTGACATCCAAAAGCATCATGGAGAGGTACATCATGGTTTTGTTTTGAGTTTTGAGTGAAGGGGGCAGTGCGTCATCCAGAAACCAGGAAAGCGGTTCCTGCGACTGGACAGAGCTGCATGCCGAGTGGCACCATTCCTTCGGTGACCCGGTTCTTCACCTCGAGACAGGCGAAAAATACCGGCGAAAACGACCGGCGAACATTGAAGAAGACGGTGAATAGTTCTCATGAGTGGGTGTTTCATTTAACACCTGGATACAAGGTCAAATGTGCAATGCAGCGTGTCTGATTAGGAAAAACATATCGGATGAGCTGCGATTGCTCAAGACCTCAAGCTACCAAGTTGCATCATGTTGGTTCATGTACCCCCATGCGAAGGTGGTCTTTGTCTGCTTTCATTCCCTACACACCACGCATATCTGAAGCTACCAAGGATCACCAAGGTAAGTGTTTTTTTGTTAAACACAAGATCTTAAAGATTTGTTGAAGTGGCCAAACTTCAAGTACTGGAGAAACTGGGCAAACCTCATGCCCCCGGAAAGAGGTTCCTGGAAAGCGGATCGGCGATGAGCCGATGTTTTGGGGATGCCAAAAGATGGAGGGGTCACGTATGACCCCTCAAACCACCCGAATGTAGGCAAATATGGCATACACCAGCACCATGGAAAGGATGTCGATTAATTACTAGCCCCTTAGAGGTCAAGGGTATACATTAACCACCCTTGGGGAAAGGGCACGGACCGTGGATTCAGCCCCGGCCCAGCGGCACCAGCGAATTCAGGCCGGGAGGCTGGATCGTTGAGGGAGATCACCACGTTTTCACCTCGACTGCGGCGGGTGTTTGGTGCTCCCCTCGACGGGACCCGAAATAAACCACCAATATTGGGTGACGTGATGTTCCTTCTTCCTATGCTCGTCTTTCACAGGCGTCCCTATTCCAATAAACATGTGTGCACACCAATATGAAGGTGGATCCTTACTGGCCTATAAATTGAGCAGGTTGAACCAACCTGGGCCACAGTTGAGCCATGCTGAAACTCTGGGCCTTTTCTTTGTTGTTTCTGCCTTTTGCGTTCAACATGTCAATCCCTTTGATGATGCATCATGTTTGGTGAACAGCTTCGACCGTGTTTCTCCAAACAAAAGAATCAGCGTCGTAAACATGGATCGTTCTCATCTCGGTCGTAACAGCTGGCCGGAAGAACGGATGGATGTCAGAGGAGTCGAGTCTTGTGGGTCTTATGTATGCACATTGGAATTAAGAGTGGAACCTATCCTCCAGGACCGAGTCTCTAAGTGACCTCTTTGGAGTCTCTAAGTGACCTCATTCTAGGATATCAAAAGGTCACTTTGAAGGTCCTGGCTGTCTGTACCATTGGTCCTATCAGGCCGTGCTTGCGAAAGCTGAGGTCGGTTAATCCATTCAGTCATGGAGCCTCTCTCCCTCAACTTTGTGGTGCCAACGCCCAGGACAAAGGGTCAAACACAAACGAAACCGGGAAAGCTCTAATCAATTATTCCATCTTGATCTTATACATACACGAAGAGCGTCCTTGTCACCTGTCTTTCATCGGACAACTTGTCCAAGAAGTGGCCTGGCTTGAAGCGGCAGTTCTCCTCCTTCACCCTGTCTGGAATTCTGAAGTGCACCTCCAACGTGTTCAGCTGCGGCCAGCCTCGCAACGTGATCCAGGCAGTTCGCACGATGGAAAGCTCCAGGCTTGAAATATCTGTAGGCTTTTATATAAATGAATCTATGGCCACAAATCTGGGGGCTTGTCAGCGAGGGGCCGCGTGCTTTCAAAACCTCCCCGCCAAAATCCGTACGCGTCAAATTCCTCGTTTGGCACACATGTCAGAAACTTGATCAATGAGACGTGCACGATGCTTACTTGGAAGCCATTTCACCAGTCCTTTGAATAGATGATCATCCAAAAAGGTGGTCGCTCAGGTTCTATGTCTATATTTTCTTTAGCTGCTAGCTAGCTGCGGTCTCGTCTTCCTCTTTGAGGTTCCACAGGAGAAAACACAAAAGAAATACCGCCGCCACACGAGCAGGGACGTCTTGGCCCGCGAGATGTGCCACGGTGTCTTCGCCTGGCAAAGCTGCTTTGTGGTTCTCCCGTTCGTGCCCACAATGCTGCACTCTGAGATCCTGCCCGGCAGCATCGTTTGTGCATCCCGACGCATTGTGCGTTTTGACGCTGGGCGGTGTGAGAGTCTGTGAGTCCCCCAAACCCATCCAAACATTGGGAGATTCTCTCTATGTTCATGTCTTTAGTAGCAGTAAGGGTCAAGGTAAGAATGGACCCCTGCCAAATCTACAAGAAGACACAACCTGCAAAATGCTTCTGATTCTCCTACCCTCAAAATCCATGCAATCCCCCGCATCTGAGCCTTCAACCTACGAGTACCAGGCCCCCCAAACTCCACGAGGTCGCAAGGATTCAAAAAGCTGCATTGAATACACAACTTGATATCGACACCTGGTGTTCATCTCTATCTGCTAGCACCTATACTCAAAACCACCTATATACTTGAGTTAACCCATGCGGTGTGGACCCTTCCGCGACACCGCCTTTCGGCTTCGGGGTCCTGGAAGGCGATTCCAAAGTTCACCAACTCATAGAGCTGCCGGTACCTCCGACGGGAAACTCACCCGACGGGCACGGTGCTTCACAGGGCAGGGCCTGGGGTTTTGGGCCCGGTATGGCTATGGGTCACCAGCACGGCCATGGGGCAAAGTGCCAAAGTGATTGGAGTTTGTTCAATTCTAAGTGGATCTGTGTCAGCTAGATGGATGGGCCTGGATGGGTCATTTCTGAAATGAGGACTGAACGTAAGAATTTGCAAATAATGAATGAGTATGTCAGGGACAGGGTTGCGAGGCATTTAAAACATGTCTGATTCATCGGCTTTGCACCACTTGCTCATCATCCAGAGTCAGCCTATAGGGTGTGTCTTCTGTGCGTGTGTGTTATCAAGTTACTGTGTATCTTATGCAAAGCTCAATGGAATTCAATGGAACTGATGTGAATGTGAATCAAAGCAAAGCAAGATGAGGACAGAACCGCTGAACATCCGTCTGAATGATAAGAGCGCTAGGTTTTTGTCTCCCACACGGCAACCGTCAGGACAGAAGCGAGTCTGTATGTCACGGTCATGCTTTCGTCATGTCACATTGGTCTTTGTCACTCAAGTGGTGGAAGTGGCCGACTAAGCATATATGGACTAATATTTTGTAACTGTATGTTACACTGGCATTGTACATGTTATTATACATACTTGTACAAACACAAAGCCAAGTTCAGCATTTGAGGAAGGGTTCTCCGTGAGTATGAACACGTCGGGAATCTTCAACCATCTTCAACCTACGACCCTGCAACCGCCTGTTTCTTGGACACATAAAGGACAACAAAGCGATCTCTTGCTTTGGACTTTAGCCTCTTAAACCGATTCGGAGGTCGGTTTCGGCTTGCACACATGGACATGCATGCTTGCAAACAAACAGCCCGGGCCCTGTGTGTTGGTGGCAAGTTCAAACACACACGAAGCAAAACCAAAAGTGCCAAAACACGAGCAACTCACAACACCGCCAAAAGGATTGCTATTGGATGGAAGATACATGACCAGGGATGTATATATAAACAATAAACATCAATACACATGCATAAATTATCTATATTCAGCACCTCGTAAACTGGTGCAGGCTAAAATCCATACGCATCAGTGGACATGGTGGTTCTAGTAGTGAACGGGTGTTTGGACGGGTGTGCGGACGCGTGTACGGACGCGTGCGCGACAGGGTGTACAATCAGGTGCGCATATGCATGCGCAAGTGTACGGACGGGTGTACGGACGGGTGTACGGACGGGTGCGCGGACGGGCACACTCATGGTCGTGCGGTGTGCTCATGTTGTGGAAATCAATACACCAAATGCCAAAAGTGTTACAGATGTTTCTGAAAGCTCAACCTAAATGAAATGCAGCTGACAACACTCGCATGGATGATTGCAAACGGCCGCATACTGCATACCCTCACTAGCATACTATTTTTCTCCTGCGCATCTGTACTGAATGCTGGCTGAATCGTGTTGATCCAGATTCCGGATACCCCATCCATTCCCCTGTGACAAGATGTGTTTGTTCATCTCGTCTCAACTCAAATCAACAACGCCAGGCGCGTTGTCACTGGCAGAACTTGCATTCAACCAGCCTACAATGTTCTCAATTTCATCACGCTCTTGCAACTCAGAGGAGTTTGCATAACGGAGAGAGGTCATCAAGCTAAGAACCACTGCCATCACCACATTGCCAGCAAAACTTGGATGCAAAGAAAAGAGTGCGGGTTGACTGGGCTCTAGTTTCATAGTTAGTTCTTCGGCGTTCAACGCTGATCTTCACACTAAAACTTGGATGTTCTTTGCGTGCACTACTAAGACCACTACGTCCACTGATGCGTATGGATTGTAGCCTGCACCAGTTTATGAGTAACTTATACTTATTTATTTATAATTGCCGAGGAACGCGTTTCCGGCTAGATCTTGCAGTTGGCTTTCCAAAAAGTCATCGGCTGCATCCGAGACTGCATGGCCTTGGATAAGCAGGCTCTCACGGCCAAGCAACAGTCTCTTCCGATCAAAGCTCCAAAACATGCTCCGCGGCAAGCAAATGGGCAATCTCTCCTTTGTCCCAGTAGAATACCTGTTTGCAGAGTGATATATATCAGCAAATGCGATCTCTGATCTTCCCATACGGGTACGCTCATCAGAGGCAAATCCGACCACCTCAGATCAAGTAGAGTTCATCTCGTCACATCCTTTTATACATGTTACATACATATAATATATGAATATTATGATATGATATGATAATGATAATCGAATCATATCATCAAATCATATCATATCATACCATATCAACATCAATCTTAAACAGTTGCAATGATTCAATGATATTGGTTGAGTATGTCAGGTTGCATGGTATACACGAGTTTGTTTCAAGTCTGTTCAGGTAGCACTGCAACAAAGACACCTCCTTTGCACGCTCTGTGAGAACGTCAAACCACGTTGTGTCCGTCACTTCCTTGTCAATCTGCACTGGCCATTGAATGCCACCTGCAAAATGGCGGTGTGTTTCATTGCTTTGAACCACAATTAGAAACAACACATACAGTGTTCTGAACTATTAATCAGTGGAGCAATGTCATGTCACGCTAATGTCTCAACCACACGCAGATATCTCACTGCTGCTGAGATGCGTTTCTCTGCAACGCTCATGTGCAAGTTGATCCATGCTTGTGGTTTATCCTCCTTCTCCTGCAATTTCTCTATGCGCTCTTGCTGGGTCTCCTCGAGACATTCCAAATAGTCAGTAACTGCCTGATGGTCATCTGGCAGAAGAAAGGATTCCTGGCCAACCACAAAACACCATCAGACAATCAAACTCACAAAAACCCACAAAAAAAAACATGAACAGGAAGTGGATAAAAAGTCTTCCCTCAATAAGGCAATGTTCAACGTTGGGCGCAGCAAAGGATGTTTTCTGCAACAATACCTTCATGCTCTCAAAAAACTCGCGTGCACTGATAGCAATCGCTGGGTCGCACACGAGCAAGGAGACTATGTATATGCGAAGCCTTGTTTGGGGAAGGCCATATGCAGAAGCGTCAAGCAGGAAACAATGGTTTGTATAGCCACGCTTTGACAGCTCGCCCAAGCATTCATCCAGGTTTGTTTGCCTCAATCTGAGAACAGGAAGAGCGCACAGAACTGATGATGATGTGACATTATATTTTGTTATATATGTATATTATTATATACATTATAAGGAATTGATCAAAGATATTGACATTATTCAATAATGATAAGCTGACGACACAGTTTATGATATAAATTAATATGATGTTATGATAAGTTATGAGTCGTCTAGGAATAACTACATTAAATAGAAACAACATGACACTGATTGAACTGAGTGAAGACCAAGGCACGTTTCATCATCGACTTCCCTATCGATGGTTTGAACGTTCTCCAGAATACACCATGTTGGTTGACAATAGTCAACGATGTCCAGGCATCCTTCAAACGTAGAGACACTGGCCACCTTTGCCTCAGTGATCTATAGTTCAACAACTGCACAAACCGCATCATTGTCCGAAGAACGTACGCCACAGAAAACACCAAACGAATTAGTGAGTAAACATGCCTATAGCCTCGTATGCCTATAGCCTCGTATGCCTATCCCTTTCAACTCATGCAAGAAACGGTCTCATCGTCTGGCTTTGCTTTTGATTTTGCCATTGCGGTGGCATTTTCCCGCGCGCTCTTGTTGAGGTTTGAGTATGAAGTACAACTAAAGCCGGCACAAAAACCATCAAGTTTGCGGGGTAGCTCGCATTGGCGTGCAGTGTGAGCCAAACAATGCCGCTTGTGTGGCTTCTTGGGCTTGTCGACCAGAGTGGTCACATCCTGCAGTTCGAGAAGCCATACAAGACTATGCTGCAGGACAATACTACGAGTCCATGCTTTGCAATCAAGTTCTGTATCTATCTTGCATTTGAATACTAGGTATTACAAGTCAGGGCATGTTTTTTACTGTTAAACCAGCTATGCAAGATGCTGCTCCAACAACCCAACAACATGAAGTCAAGCTTCGTCAAATAAACAGTACTCGGATCTTGCACCACGCTTGCAATACTCGGCTTTGAATCCCACACTCTCAGCGCCAAACATGGGCACAACCTCGAAACAAATGTCACTTCACAGGGAAACAAAACACACACACACACACAGTTGTCATGTGTAGTAAGTAATTAATATATGAAGTCTTATACATTAAATTATATAATATAATATATACAATATACAGTACACATCAATTATCTATATTATGATATAGTATAGTACACTAGACTATTATTAGTCTTAGTCTTAGTATAAATAGATTGATTTCAAACACATAGTCTGACTCCTCAAATGGAGCTCCTAAATGTTCCAATAGCTTTCACTGAATGTCTGGATGCAGTACAAGCCACTTCAACGAATGGCTTGCAACAGTGAACCATTCAGACAGGGCATTGTTGGCGACGCGCATGCACTCTTCAAACCTTATTTGATTCAATTGCTACTAGCTGGATGGATGATTTCATCGTTCATCGTCATTGAAGAACCATGTCTGAATGAAGTGACTCGACACTGACTCTGTCATACAGTGCTGGCAAAGGACGACCCTGTACCACTGCATGCTGATGCGATTCGGATTTGTCTGGGCATTGATTGCAAATTCTCCACAATCATGGAGTCATTTGCTGATGCATGGTGCTGCAAGAGCAAGCTCACCATGACCTAGATACCAACATGGCAACAGGGTATGATTCAATGAGACTCAGACTCATGATTCTATGATCCGGATTCGGATTCCAATTCCAACTCATTGACGCGCTAGCCCAAACAAATTGAAGGTTGGAACTTGCATCCCTTTAGCACATGCTTGCATTAGACTCATTTGACTATTGACTGACTATTGCCTATTGCCATCAAAACGCTTGGGCTGTAGAATCATACAGGCGCTCAATATCCGGGTACAACTCTTTGGTCTTGGCCACAATTTTTGCCGCTTCTTCGGCAGAACAGCGACCTT